TATTAAAAAAAAAAAATAGTGAATGACCACTACTTGCTTGAATACTATCATTGTAAGCAAACTCCAAGGATGTCAAGTATTCATTTCAATCATTATAATAAACCACCACAAATATCCATAGCATATCTTCTATATTCAGATTTGTATGCTCTATTTTTCCATTTTTTTGGAAATGGAAGGCTATAGACATGGCAAACAAAGCCTACAAATCTTTCCAAAAACTTTAACAAAGTCAATTTGCTGGTGCTTGAATTTTGATGTTTTGAATAACTTCCAATCTGATGGCCTACCTCCCAACAATAGAAACACAATTCTTTTTGTACCAATATTTGTAATCTTTGTAGTATCAATGATTCTTATAGAAGATCAATTTTTATTGACATTGATTGTTAGACCATAATATTAGATGGTGACATAGGACTTTGTGTTATAGGTCTTGCTCTACAATTTTTGAAATCTATAGCATCGACCCTCTTTACAATCAAAATTGTATCTTTGAATGTTTGTGGATCCTATAGTTCCACCTCTTACTGGACCTCAGGTTTCAAATCTTGTAGGAATCGATCTATCATCTCTGCCTCAAAAATATTGCCAATTTGAAGACATAGAAACTTGAGTTGGGAGATATAATCTTGTTCCAACCTAGATTGTATAAGATTTGTCAATTGATCGCATACTATTTTTTCCACATTTATAAATCAAAATTGATTCTTAAACTTGGTTTCAAATTCCTTCCAATCACAAAATCCTCCTTGACCTCCATAGCTTTGAACTTGATGTCACTACCAAATGGCTGCCGCATCTTTTAAATAACTGATTACATATATAATTCCTTCAATGGCATTTGCTTCAGATAGTTGGAGGTATTGTTGCATGTTGAAGAGCCATTGACATATATCTTCTTGTCTTAAAGTATGTTCTAAAGTATGTACTAGGCTTACTCAATTTTAGCCTAATAAAAGTTGATTTTCTTATTCTTGAGGCTTTTATTTATCCTTATAAAGTAGCTATTTGGTCTAAAAAAATATTGTATTTAAGCCTCCATCTGAGATTGTTCCACCATATCTTCCATGCTATAATTTCTCTGCTAAATTCTACTATTATAATGCTTTTTCTCCTCTTAGTTGACTTTTCAAGAGTAGCTTGTGGTAGCTTCAACATATTACTTAATATTACTACAATAATTGATCTTGGATTACATAATGACTATTGACATACTACCAAAAATAACTAATCTAATACTTGCTTTGATACTAATGAAATATGACCAGTCTATCTCAAGTATCCAAGACCTTTCTAATCTATAGCAACATTAAACCTCGTCACAAAGTAGGACAAACTAGATCAAAACAAAAGTAAACTGAATTAAATAAAATGGGACATAAAAGATAAAATTAAGCAATTGAAATTAAGACAAAAAAAAATAAAACAAAAAGATAGAAAATCTAATTGTATTAAGAGAAAAGATGCAAAGCCATACCTCATCAGATGCCTTAAAAAGACCTTGATCACTCTAATTTATTTTTTAATCTACCATCTTGGACTTTTTAGAATGTTCCTAAGTATTGGACTCTACTTACATAACTGCCTTACACTCCTTCTAGAAAATTCAATAATAGGCCCTACCTAGATAACCATCCTAAGTCTTTTTTAGAAGGTTCTATGGTGGATTCCATCTAAATAACCACCCTAAATTCTTTTTAGAATATTCCACGATAGATCCTACTTTGTCCACTAACCTAATTTCAATTCTAGAAACTTCCATAGTTCTAACTATCTATCCTTATACAAATATCTTATCTATATCTTTTTACATTTTACTTGACAATATCTATTACTATCATGAATTGTCGAAGGATATTTAAGAGGATTTTCATTGATATCAAATAAGAGGACTCAATTTACATCAAGATTTTGGAAAATTCTTTTTAAGTTTTTAAATGTACATATAAAGCTCTCTTCTATTTTTCAACTTTAAATTGATGGACAATCAAAACAGGTGAATAAAGTTTTAAAGCAATATTTGAGGTATACTATCAATTATCATCAAGATGATTGGACAACTCTTTTGCCATTGGCAGAGTTTACATACAATAATTCAATATATTATTTTACTCAAAAAATACCTTTTCTTATAAATTATACTTATTATCTACAACTTGATATTTTTAACTTTTTAAAAGTTGATAATCCTACAGTAAAAGATTAAGCAAATCATTTGTCATAGTTATATGCAACAATTAAACTATAGTTAAAGAAAGCTCAAGAACAACAAAAGATCAATGCAAATGCCTATTACAAGAAACCATAATTTAAAGTGGGTGACAAAGTATGGCCACTTTGTTGCAATATCAAGACTACTTGTTTTTGTGACAAGTTGGATTATTGTAGACTTGAACCTTTTTTTATTTGTAAATAAGTCAATTTTATTGCTTATCCATTATATCTACCAAAATCTATAAAGATCTATTTTATATTCTATATATCTCTTTTTGATCCATATAAAACAATGAATATCTTAGGAAGAAGACAAATGTTACCTCCTACTATAGAAGTAGATAATAATCAAGAATTTGAGGTAGAAGAAGACTTATATTCAAGGCTGCACTAAAATAGATTGGAATATCTTGTTCATTGATGTACTTATGATATTAGTAAATGCATATGGAAGCTAACAAAGAATCTTGCAAATATAGCAAAGAAAGTTGAGGCTTTTTATTGACAACATCTATCAAAATCAAGTTGAAGAATTATAAGATCTATGAAAGATGATGACTACTCTTTATAGAACTTATCCCTAAAAAGAAGGTAATGTCATGGGCATATATATTTATTCTAATATTTACCTATATAATTAAGTATAAATAAATAAAATTTGATTTATTTTATAATATTTTATAAAAAAAGCTTCTTAAAAGCTTTATAGATACAACTTTGACTTTATATGTATTTGTAATTGATTGATAGGTTAAGAACTTGGGCAACAAATTAACCATATGTTGGTAGCTTGTGAAACAAGCTAATTATGTGGTGCACATATAGAAAATTTGCCTTGTAATTTAAAATACGTGTCTTATAAAGTCAACATATTTTTGAGGTCCTATAGGACATTGTTACATAGCTTCTAATTAAGAATATATATAGAAGTAAGAATAAAGCCTTCTTCACTCTTGTCAATGCTTTTTTAATCCTTAGTCTTATTTTAAGATTTTTTAGTCTTCTTGTCTTTGATAATAGCCATTTTAGTTTAATATTATATCATCTTTGAGTAATTTTTTAGTCTTTTTGAGTGATGCAAGAGTGTATTGATATTTTTGTTTTTTAAAGTTCATTTCCTTGACATTGAGTCTAGATTCTCTCTTCATCCAATAATTATCAAATAATTATCTATCATTTCTTCTATTAATAAGATATCTTTCTAGGCTTGATTTCCAAATAAGTACTCATAGCCAAGTCTTATGCCTTTTTGCCATCATTTTTAAGCCTTACAATCAACTTTAAGTGATTGAATATATTCTTAAATTATTAAAATTCTTCTCTTGTCATTTTCTTCCATATCTATTTTAAAATTTCTTATAGTAGTCTTTATTTCTTACTCTCTAAAGCTCTACTAACCTTCATCCAAAGAACTATAAAGATAATAAGATGTTCCTATCAATAATTTTTCAATACTTAATCTTTGGCAACATTGCTCTTTATATCATTTCTTGTTCTTTGAATCTCTAACTCTTAGCACATTTGGCCACTTCCAATAACTTCAAAAATTCCAAAAAAAACTTGGTTCAAATCTACCATCTTGTAGATTTTTTTTATATTTTAATCTAACATTTTTTATAATTTAAAAAACAAACCAAAATTTGTTGAAATACAACCAATCAAATTTTTGACTCAATTATGCTTGCTATAGCTTTCATTTGACTTATTTTTGGCCTACAAATTGCTGCTCTACTTTCAGCTCAACATTCTAATTTCAAGCTTGGTTGTGCATGACTATTCCTTCTATACATTCATTCAATTTTGTAGAATTGCTAAATTATGGAAATTTGAAACGTCTTCTAAAATCTTAATTTGTCATTCAAATTCACATTCATTTACATAACATATCTTCTTTAATAAATGAATGACTAATTAAGGTTTTAGAAGACGTTTAAAATTGATCTAGTTTGAATGGCATTCATTGATTAAAGACTATTTAGTAGCACATAGAGTAGCAACACAAGAAAGTGCAAGTTATGGTGCTAGAGTAGATAATGACTTTGACGGACTTTGAATGGCATTCACTTATACAACATATACTCTTTAATAAAACCTTGAAACATAATCCTAATTGATAACTCAAGATAAAGGTGACTTAGCCTCTAACTAGTTTTAACTACTTTTCTTAATCTATAAAGGCATCTTAACTCCAAGATAGTTTTTTAATTATATTAACTTTCTTTAGGTAGTCCAAAAAAAATCTTAACAACATTGCCACTTTCTAAAAGGGGCATACAAGTGATTTCGGACTAATTTTGAATTTGAAAAAAAACACAATTTTTCTAATAACAAAACTCTTCTTAAATCTTATTTTTGTTTTGGTTTTTTTACTATTAAAATCATCATTTCCAATTCTTTCATATCATTGCAATAAGTTCATTTCTTCATATGATTCTATTTTTCATGTTTTTATTTACTTTTTGTATATGTACTTTAACTTTTGAATGATCAACATTGTAAATACATTCAGAATGAATATCAACCCAAGAATTTGATACTTCTAAAAAAAAAGTATTTAAAAAGGAAAAGATGAAACTAAAACAGGGAGAAAACCTAGTAAACAAAAAGAAAAGCAGCAAAAGTAACAGCAATAATGGTGGAGATGGAACCAAGACCCAAAATAGCACCCCTTTCATTCAAAGGAGGGTACCGAAGCTTGCAGGGGTCACCAAAACAGACTTACTTTGAATGCCGAAGAGAGAAAAGAACAAAAGAGGGCGAGTAGGACAAATCAAAAGACGCCGACATCCACAGTTTGCATTAAAAGCAAACTAAAGTGCAGACAGTGACGAGCAGATTACTCACTGCAAAACGGAGATTGAAGGGCAGGCTGACCGAGAACCCTCTCTGCATTTGAATGTGGCAACAATGATAAGGTACTACGGATTTCTTCGATAAACATGTGCTTATTGTTTTCTTTACTTAACATACATTTCATGTTGCGCGGGATAAGGGGAAAAACAGCGCTAAGTACGCATTGACTCGCCCTCCGCTGAATCTTCTTCAAGTCGTAAAAACTGTGTTAAATCGGTAAATCAGTGGTGAAATCAGGCACTAAATTAGGTGGGTTCTGAAATGCGCAGATCTTCGGAGATATTAGCGAATCACGAGACTCCACTCAGACACTCCCACGATCATTCTATAGCTTGGAAATCTGCTACTTAGGAGTTATGCCTAGCTTCATGGCTGCGAAGGGGAAAGTCGACATGGATAGGGTTTTGGGGAGGGGGGGTGAGCGGCAATGGCGTGACAGAAAATTCTCGAAGGATATAGTGCACCATAGATGCACCAAACATCTTCCCAGGCGTGACCGAAATCATACTTTTGGAGATGTTGGGCTAGGGCCACGCACAGACGCGGAGGGCTATGGCGGAGCGAATGGATGGCGTCCAAAGCTTCCAAGCGCTAGCTAGGATCGTGAGCTTCGAGAATAGGCGCCAGCATGGTGATGAGCTGTGGCGATGCAGACGCAGACGAGGGTGATGCGGACGAGGGTGGGGAGTTTGTGGGAAGGGCCAAGGCTCGCTCAAGTTGCCCGCAGCCTCTTATATTCTGCTTCTCTCCCATTCTCTTGTTGTTGTGCGGATGAAGGCTCTCGATCGCTTCGGTGTCTCAGTGGTTCGTGATTGATTTATCTGGTAGCTTCGTACGTTGTAACTCGCGAGATAAACTTATAAAATTATTATCATTGTTATTATTTCGTTTACAACTGGGTAGAAGATCAAATTCCAAGCAGGTCTTGGGAGCCTTGTCTGCAGAGTCGGCAATCGAGCCGGCCGCGCCCAACCTGCTGCCCCTATGATACTCTTTTTGGGGTCGGTAGCTACGTTAGGACCGAAAGTATTGTGAAAATTTTCTATTATATTACTGGCGTAGAGAATACAATGAAACGTATCTTCTCGTGTTGTATCTCATTTGATCGAACCACGGAAGAAAGGGATGAGCCAAACGAATCGCAAGGAGCGATCAACCTTTACGCTGTTCAGGAGCCTGTTACGGTGAGTTGGTGCAGTTGAAGATGATTTTAGGGTTTCCAGATTGACTTCCTGTTTGGAAGTATTTCATAGCAACTCCACCGCATAGTTCGAATTGAACTCGAACATGTATTGTTGCTCAAATGGAATGCTTCGATGTGAGTTGATGAATTTGGAGGTGTTTGCTTGGAGGAGCTGACAGAATCTGAGAAGAATGGAGTCGCAATTGACTGGAGATAATCCCCATCGTGCTCTACGTTCAGTGAGAGTGTGCAGGAATTTCAGATGCTCCATTTGCTCCGGCCAAGGACTTGTATACTCTGGGGTTAGAGATTGTAGGTTTTGTTGCCATCCCGGATCAATCCAAACAGGTTTTGTTACGGAGCCTCTAGACCCAGGTGTATGGAGCAAGCTGCCGCTTGATCTCCTGGAATTTATCTTTGCTCGTCTTCCCATTGATTTTATTGTTCGTCTCCGAGCTTTGTCCAAGGCCTGGAAGCGTGAATTGTCGACCTGCTCCTCTTTCACTACAGAATGCGCAAAGTCCCAGCCCAATCTCGGTGCAATTATGGGTTTCAGCACCGATTCGTGCTGGGTGAGAGTGTACGATACCACAGTGATCCGCCCCCCATATGAAAATCCTCGCAAGTGGCACGCGTTCAGAATTAAAAACATTCCAAAGCTTTATGCTTCTTCGATGACAGCTTGTGATGGAGGGTTGGTTTGTATTGTGCCGCTGGCAACCTTGCAACCTGTTCTTGTTCTAAATCCGTTAACGAGGGAATGGAGGCAGCTCCCTTTGCAGCGTCTTGTGAAACATCCTGGGATGGTGCAGTTGAGAGTAGACCGTGACACACGAATGTATGAAGTTATATTAGTTGGGTTTAAGGGCGGAAGCGGAGTTATTGGCGAGTCTTATGATTCAAATATCAACCAGTGGAGTGCAGTGGCATCCGGTAATGTTATGGGTCCTTTGTGTGAATATCCAAGAACAAGTCATCTGGAGTACATGGGATGGGTTCAAGTTTACAACGGCTCGAAAAATCTCCTTCGTGGATACAGACTTCCTAAGCGTGATCCAGACCGGATTGCAAGTACTCGATGGCGCGTTTTAGGGTATGCGACGTGCATGAACAATTTTTATTTCCTAGAATCTGAGATTGGTGAACGATTTGAGGATGGAAGATTGCCGGTTCGTTTCAATGTGTCGAAATTTGAGGAAGGTAACTGGAGGGTTGGTTCCCATGAATCAATTCGAATTAGTAAACCTTCTGTAAATTTCGAGTTCCATGTAGATATTCCTGAAGGTCCGAAGCTGCTCGTGTGCAAGTCGTTCTTCATGGTGGTGTTTCGCGGCTATAACCACAATTACTTCGTGCTGATTTTCTACGATTTAGAGAACAACAAATGGCAGAAGTTTGACTTGCAGTGTACTGAGTACTCCGTCTCTAGGAAGGAGATGGAGACAGCATTCGCGTGTGAGCTTCGGTGGGATGCACGCCCATAAGCTTAAAAGCGTGAGCATTTGCTGCATTTCTTTCTTGTAAATAGGGTTAGGATTCAGACGTGGGCGAGTTTTCGGGTATTTCGATGTATGTTCTGCTGCTTTACTGCGTGCATGGAGCTGATGGACCTGCTAGGCGTGCGCAGCTTTCCTCAAGGGGGCAGTTTGAAGAGGAATTTTGCGAATTTGTTTGTTCAAGTAGGCAATTTCGAAATCGTGCTCTATTATGATAGAACTGTTGGATTCAATAGCCACTTTCTGCATATATTGATTGTTGTACTTGAAGAAGCACGATGTCCAGATGATCCGTAAAGTTTGCTCTTGACATCCTGTGCTGCGATTGTAAGATATTGAGGAAAAGCAGATTTGTCTGTTGAGGTAACAAGTTGAGCTAGCGTTGTGTGCTTACGATTTTGTTGTTCGAGAGCATCACTATTCGACTCAACGTAGCACGATCTTCTACACATCATTCTTTTGTAGATAAGCTATAAATCGTATTGATTTGAGAAAACCGAGACAATATACTCAGCACGGTGGATTGAAATGATTCCAGTTTGGAGTGAAGACCTTATTGTGCAATTTGATCTAGGAATTGGAAAGGAAGAGTACTCGGGATTGCAAACTTTGTTGAATACGTGTTTATCACCGCATAGCCGTTTTTCTACCGCGATGTTTCAGGAGGACGACTTAATCCTCTCATCTGGTGAAAGCATGCAAACTATATTTGAATATACTTGTGTAGCACAAGTGATAATGCACTTTAAGAACATTCCAATCATTTCTTTAGCAAGGTTGGAGATCAGGACTACACATTCAGATGTTCCTAATGCAATGACTGGTTCTCGTAGAGTAGACTGCTATTGTGGAATTCTGTACAATGTAGGGTTGTAAGCATAAGAACTCATATAGCAGAGCCCCATTTGTGTCTGAAGGCAAATTTCTGCCGTTCACCGTATTCTTCTCTGTCATGTGCATAACCGGGGATTACACAGATGCACTTTCTTCTTCGGTTTGACGTCTGAAAGCATCAGCTCAATATCCCGCACATTTGGCCGTTCGGTAGGCAACTTGAACATAATACGGCATCTCTGAGAACCAACATGACCTGTGCATTGAATCAAACAATACGACTGAGGAATTTTTCTGAAGTACTGAAGACTGCAAGATGCAGTTACTTTGATGGCTCACATCTTGTACACAGTTCCTGCTCCGCCCCAACCAATGATATCGTCTTCATCCAAGCCAGCCAGCACCTGAAATCAAGACTGCCATGAAGAAAGCTTGATGATATAACGGTTTCGCGAGATTGAACGGATGACCTAAATTTTAAACAAGTTTCACCTTCAAATCTCACGGATGTACTGAAAAATGACAAGCTATGAAAACAATTTCACTATATCCATTCGCAGTCCAAAACCACCAAATTAAGTTGAATAAAGTGAGTTGCCAGATACGAAATGTCCACGGACTGCTGGTTTTGAGAATGGCACTCAGAAGTTAACCTGACATATAAGCCTGCACGGAAAAGATTGTTGGTTTCAGTGCAATTTTGATTGTTTGAACAGAGCTTCAGAAGCTCATCACATGAGATCAGTCCTCCATCTTCTACATTCTTCCAAATCATTCTGCTAGACTTGTGATATTGAGTGCGTGGGAGGTATCGACACAATTATTATCTTCCGCGTCAAAAGCAGAAACATAATAGAGTGTCCAGGAGGTTATGGAAACACGATGGTGCGTAACTGTGAAGCTGAGAAGTCTAAGCACTCGAAGGCAGTCAGATTCCACGCCCTTGCACTGACATGCTCGCGGAGAGCCATCAATCGTTTGTGCCAACCTATGTTTCTGGATATAGACATGACTCCATCACATTGAAACGCTATCAATGCAGAGATCTTGCGGAATCGTGCCATTCAGGAAATTTGAAGACAGGTCTAGGAGGGAGAGATTCATGTTTAGGTCGAGGTTTTCTAGGATCGGCCTAAACAACCTGTTCTTCCACAAGTTCAGGACCTGGAAGACCACCAACATTGATTTTCGGATATGTTTATGATGGCATAGAATTAAGGGGAAATAATTACAAAAGAATTGTAAAACATGTCGACCTGGAAGGTTCAAGTTCAACGTCATTGTTCATTTATGAATCGAGCAGTTCTACAGGGAACAACATACAGGAGTTGATTCTCAGGAAGTCGAGGCACAACGTTGAACTTCACCCGATCAGATAATATTAGTGTACAGAAACTAGGAACCATAAAATTGAGTAAAGTCCCTGTCAGACTATTGAATCAGAGTTCTAGCGAACGCAGATTGATTAGAACCGTGGGGTTCGAAGGTGGAGAATGAGCTAGCATTAATGGGCATTCCTCAATGATGCTTTTTTCTTTTACTCTTGCTTTCAGTTGACTGATCACGAGAGAATCGTCAGTTAAATTCTTCAAATTTCTCGGCCTGATCAACTGAATGCCTCTTTCACTTCGAGCTAAATCTAACAGTCATTTCTCTCAGTCTGGATTGTGGGTCTTCGTAGAAGGATTGCTAACCTGGAGCTACTGAAGCATTCGAGGTCCGCGACGTAAGAAATTGAGTCAAGGAAACAATTGACAATGCAGTGTAGATATCAAGGTGTTCGATTTTTTTTATGAAACAAATCAATTTCAAGTTTTTGATTGCGTAGATGATGTGTGTTTATTTGTGTTTACTGAAAATATATGTAATTTTATATTTGAAAAATATGAAAGGAATTCGAAATGTGTTGAATGATGTACAATTCTCAAGAAAGTTTTGAGAAATTTACATTTAGTTAAATAGTTTCCAGCTTTTACAAGTTCTAGTTCAAAGTTTAGTTTTTTTTGCTATTAAAAACATATATTTTTAAATTTCTTCAGAATTAAAATATAAAAAATCAATCCTAAGAACTTTCTTAAATCTCATATTAATAGTATAGATATAATAAATCTATACTAAAATTTAGTTTAAAATTTCTTTTAGAATTCAAAATTTCTACTTATGCTTGTGAAGATTTTTTTTAAAATTTAAATTAAAAGAACCTTTTTATTTAAATAATATTTTTAAAAAAGATTTATTTATTTTTCTATATATATATAAATGTGAGCCAAAAATTTAGAAATATGACTCTTTTATTCATGCTTAACATAATTGTAAGTTTTTTAATCTTCTCTATTATGATTGCAATACTATAAAAATAAAATATATAACATGATGCATTGTTATTGAGCTATAAATAAATAATTCTACAGAAAAAGATCGTAAAAATATTAGCCTTGAAAAAAATTATCACCTTTGTAGATATATGTCTTTAATATTAAAAAAATATTTTAATTTTTATATATTACATAAACTTTATTAAAAGTATAAAAACAAATGTAGTACTTAGTTTTAAGAGACTAAAATATATGAAGTCTAATTATAATGATTTCAATATTTTAAAAAATTAGTATTAAGATTGAACTTTAGTTAGGATCTATTTTAAAGATATTTTTACTAAAAGATATTAATTTTTGTATTTTCTACTAATGACAAAAATAAGAATTACTCAAAGATTTTATTTTATTTTATCATATTAAAAAATTACATAAAAATAAATATTATAACATATTTATGTGTACAATTTAAGATTTATAGCTCAAATTATATAGTATTGTATAAAAATACATTAAGATTTGTTTCAATTTCATAGCAAAAAAAAAAAAAAATGTATATATATATATATAATCTTAGAAAAGAAAATATATTTCTCATTTTATTATTTTAATCAAGAGACTTTGATTATTATATTATCATACGTCAATATGGTCATATTAAAAACATCATGTATAGAATCCTATCAAAATTAGATTAAAATTTCTACTAGAAATATTATTGCATATTCTTAATCTTTATTTTTTTATTTTTTTAAGGCTTAATTACTGAATATTAGTTTGACTCTATTTAAAAGTTTGTTTTTTTATACAATAAAATAAAAATTTCCTCAAATCAAATAGTTTGAATTTTTTTAATTTTATAAAATTTTAATATGTTGTTTTGTTAGAAAAAAATATTACATTTTTAATATTGTCAAAAATATTAAATAATATCTTTTTATAATAACAAGGTGAAAAGTATCAACTATAGCAAAAAGCTATAGTCTTGACATAGATCATAGTATATTTTTTCTTAATATGTCAAAATAATTCCTCTAAAGTTATCTTAAAGTTGTCTAAAGATTTTTAAAAATTACTATATCTATCCAAAAAAATTTAAAGAAAATTTACAATAATATTTGTATTGAAATTTATTTATAATAACATAATATAATCTACTACTTCAAAGATATATATATATATATATATATATATATATATATATATATATATTATCTTAATTTTAATACTTTTGATTTTCTTATGATTAATAATTTGGTAATTATAATAGTGAAAGTTGATGATAATGATAGCAATTTGATTTGTTGAAAATAGAGACATATCACTACAAATGCAAAAAAAATCAACACATAACAAAGTATTTTTACTAAGATTTAAGTACATATTTATACATTTTTTAATTAATTTAAGTACTAATATTGTTAAATCCTTTACAAAATGCCTATAAAATACCTTAAATTCCTACCAAACAAGGCATACATAATGTTGTGTAGGAATTGCTTTAAGCCCTTCCTATTTCTTCTCTCTCTATTTCTCCTTCGTCATCCTCCCCTTAAAGAAACAACTATAAAACAATGATTTTACTTCTACTTAGAATCTCTACACAAGCAATTGTTAATGGTAGGCAAGCTTGCCATACTCTATATAAATTAAATAATAATAATAATAATAATAAGGCAAAATCATAATATAATTATTAATTTGCAAAGAAGAATGTGGCAAAAATCAGCAAGGGAGTACCTCCAGGATCTTTGTTATGTGATGGATAAGTCATAGCTTTTTGTACATAAAATATGGAATATTGAACATTCTTTTTTTTAAAAGAAAGACTTAGTTCTCTACTAAAACAAGATCTAACATATCTTTAAAAGCTAGAAACTTATTTTTAACAAGAGGTTTTGTAAAGATGTCTATTGCCATCTATTTTGTGGAACAATATTTCAAATCAATTTGTCCTTTCTCTACACATTGCCTAATAAAATGATATTCTATATCCCAATATTTTATACAACCATGGTGTGTTAGATTCTTCATAATAGCAGTGGAATTTTACTTATCTTTATAAATGTAGAACTTTTTTGATTCAAAAATGTCATAATCTCTAAGTACTTTATAAAGCCACTAAGTCTCTTTTGCTATAGTAGCCAAAGGTATATACTTTGCCTCTATTTACAAAATATAAACTAAAGATTGTTTCTTACTTGACAAAGTGATATTTGTGCCACTTAATATAAATGCATAACCTTCTATTAAATGGTGCATTTTTGCACAACTTGTTCCATCTGCATCATTGTATTCCACAAGTTGCAAATTTATTTCTTTTCTTTTATACTATAATATCAAATCTTTTATTCTTTTTAAACAATAAAATATTTATTTGATT